TAAGTCCAATAAATATGTTTAATTTAGTTTTACCGTAAGAAATATCTATCTATTCAATGGCTAATCAATAATAAAAAAAATGCATTTATCATTTAAAAACACAAAAGTATTACGCTTGTTAAAATGTTTACTTCAGGAATAAGAAATATTTGATAAAATAAGATCAAAACGCTATTACGAATAGCCAAATTAAATTAAAAGATTTTAACTAAATAAATTAAATTGAAATTAAATAATGTTTTAGATATTATATTCAAATAGTTACGACATTTATGTTATTTGTCGAACAAAAATCTCAAAGAATTTTAAAAAGAAAGTGCTAATATATTTTTATGAAATCTCCTAACTTATTTAAAAGTTTTGCGACTTGAAAAAAAAGCAACCCTGTTCAGGATAGAGGCTTAGACAGGAATTAAAAGCTTCGATGGCTCCCGTGCATCCCGTGGTGCTGACATGGTCTTCTCCTGCTGCTCGGGCCTCCACTATATAGTATTTATATAGAAGTGACGCAGAGCCTGCCCCTGCTGCCAATATGTTTCCATTGAACTGCAAATGGCGGCAGATGTTTCCCAAGCGCCCCAACGTAGTTGTCGCAAGTAAAAATTGACGAAATTTATGTTGAAATTGTCAAAGCAGAAGGCGAGTTTCGTCACCTCCCCTGGAACAAGATGTGGATGGAGTATGGATATGGATATAGAGATGGGTGCACGTGGCAGAGGAGAACTCGACCATAGTTACGCCTATCACAGCTTTTGATATCCCTTTCGTAGCATAAGCATTTCATAGGTTGCCCTGACTACACAGAAACCCAAAGGCAAATACTCGACTTTGTGGGGGCAATTCTGCCCTTTTTTCTACTTTTTGTTCTATTATTTTCCATTCTATTCGACCACACAACGTGCAATTGTCAGCAGAAACAGCGTTATAGAAGTATTTTATGCACTTTCATTTCATGGTCAGTTGGCGTTATGGTTTCGGGTCGGGCAACATGTGTAGCGAATGCGATTGTTTGCACTTTGGGTGGGTTTCTCCCACTCTGCAAAAAAACATCCTTTGAATATGGGTTCACAATAAAATAAATACAAATAACTTAATATTCGGGTCAGTTTATTGTAAACTGGCCGCAGGGTTTGCGTGCAAATATGTGTATGTTCAAACGAATTTCACAAATGGGAATACTGAAAATTCGTATTGAAATTAAAACTATATTATGAACATTCATAATTAATATTCTTCAGTTAACTGGTGAGTTTTTGTGTAAAGTTAAATAATGTTTTTTTTTTTTGGGTTCAGATTACGATGTTAATCTTTCTATTTATTTACAAATTGTAACACAGTGAATATGGGTTTACAATAAAATAAATATGTATAAATTAATATTCGCTTGTGTGCAAATATTTGGATGTTCAAACGAACTTAACAAATGGGAGTACGAAAATTCTTATTGATATTCTTCAGTTAAAGGTGCTGAGTTTCTGTATAAAGTTAAATAAAGCCTTTTTTACTTGACTCTCAATGAGTTTTTTAAGGTTCAGATTACAAGGGTAATCTGGGATTTATAATGGTTTGTTTTTTTTAGTTTATTTATATATAGTTGACTTAAAGTAATATATATAGTTTATCCAGAATAAACCCATGTAGCTTCCCTATTTATAAAGCTTTTTAACCACAATATAGATCGTTTTACTGGGGACCACAGGCGAATCGTTTATTAAGCTGCTCATGGAAGCTGCTTAGTGGCGTTTGGCGTGCGTAGGTGAGTGCTTTTTATTGCACAAATATTTGCTGTTCGCGTATACGATGGCAAACAAAAAGGCACGCGACTTTGTGCCAGCGCCAAAAGTATGCAGACAATGTGCAAACACATCGCACACACATTGATCTATGTGCGAGTATGTGCATGTAAAAACTAATTTTTCATCAGCGAAATAAGGGAAAAAAGTGTGGGTGAAGCGGAAAAGCGGGAAAACAGGGCTGCCGCTTCTGATGTTCGCAAAACAAACGATATTTTAACGCCGCTTTGTATGTAAATGCGCCAATTTGGTAGCAAACAAAACAAAATGGCGGAAATATCGATGCGTGGCCAGCGGTCCACGCCCCCCGCTTTTTTGCCCGCCCCTTCCGGTTTGGAGGTCCTGGGATCCGCGTTTTATGCAACACATATTTGAGTCTATTAAAAATGCGTTTAAAATGCTTGGTGTGGTTTTACGGTTAAATTGTTAAATTCAAATAAAATTGATTTTTGTTGGCTTACACCACGATGAGAGTGTGTGTGTACGTTTGTGTGTGTGCCCTGCGTTCACGCGCATATTGCGAATTTTTGCCTCAATGCATAGTTGGAAAATTAAATGCAAAAAGGTTTACAACTAACCGAGCTATGCGGCCCAACAAAATCATTTGCGAAATGAGGACTACATGTGATCGAAATGTTTGCCTGCGTTTGGCTGCGAATTCTTTCGCCGGTATGCGGATTAGTCGAAATCTTTTTGTTTCGCTCAGGTGCATGTAAATGTAATGCGGGAAATTGCCTTAAGCTTTGTAAAATGCACAGTGGAAAAAAAATGGTATAAGGAGAAAAATTAGCCTCGTTGTTATAAAAATACAGACCATATTCAGATATGAAATCTACTCTGACGTTTTTGCGTTAGTAACAATTTTTAACATATCTAGTTTTTCCTTTTATTAAAAACAGTATTTTTAGGACTAATAAAATAAAAATATTGAATTATTTTTTAATTAAAAAAAATTGCCTTAGATTAAGTTATAGTAATGGGGTTCACCTAAGTTTTAAGTTTAATATGTAAAGGATAACCACACTAGTATGTAGTTACATATAAAAATGATGCAACGTTTTCGTTATTATTAATTTATAGCGGTCGTTTCAGATGAGACATGTCAAGAATGCGCCGTGTCATTTCGAAAAATGTTAGTTTCGCCAATGCCTGGCTGCATATCGTCGATAACGAGCTGTAACGCCAGACGATAAATGCCTCGAAAGTCGTGTAAAAAGTGCCAGCCAATAGCTAACAACTGCAGTTTGGTGGGGAAATTGGAATGGTGACTGGGCTTCCTCAATGAAACATGCTACGTAATTTCCATGTGGGTAACCAGCAATTTCTGGCATGTAACATTTTTCAACATCAACAACTCCAACAATATGGCGGCGTTTCCGCTTTGCAACTTCCCCATGGAAGAACCGCTTACACATCCTCCTACTCGTTTTCGTTTTCGCCCCAGGAATATGCAGCGAAGCGCAAACACTACAAGAAAAATTGTAAGTGAAGCGAATAAAATATTATTTTCTAATGCTCGAAGACACAAACAAAGCCAGTAAAGGCGGAGGCAAAAATGGATGGCAGCGATGGTGGAAAAAAGAAAGCAGGAGGCAAAAAGCCAAAGAGAAATCAAGAAAAATTGTTTAGTTCTTTCGCTTCACTCTCGAGCTCCCGGAGAATAATGGGTCCCGGGTGCTCTACTCGGGGCTTAATCCATCTTAGTCTAGTCACATCCACTACTAAGGATATGGTAAGAATGAGAATGGGGCTAAGGATAAGGATAAGGATGGGGATGACGACAACGAGGACTTTGAAATGTTGCCGGAGCTCTTGGAGATGGAGCGCAAATGTAAACAAAAAACGAAATTATTCTGCAGCATTTGTTCGCTTTGCCTCCTTTGTTTTTTTTTTATATTTTTTTCCCGTTTAAAGTGCTCCATTTTTTTGTGTGCTCATGCGAAAGCGCCTTAAGTTATGCTGCCATTTTTTTCGTTTCCTTTCTGCTGCTCGCAGCTTTCTTCTATTTTGAGCAATATTTTTTGTAATAATGTTGCCTCGCAGCGAACGCCGCCAAATGAAATGAATTGTGAAAAATGTGCTCCAGCTTCTTTTCTTCAGCTCCTTTTAGCTGGGTGGTTGGGTGGCTGGGGGCTTTTCTTATTTTTTAGTGGTTGAGCTGGCCGCTTTCGAACTCAATTACATAAGCGCAGCAGCAGCAGTAGCAGAAGGAGCAACGTGCACACACAGTTTGGCAGTTTGTAATTTTCGGCAAATGGCAAGTCACAAAAAGGATCTTCTGGCCCCGGTCCAAAATCACGTAAAATGTCAAATTGCGAAACGTCAGGGAAAATGGCGCGTTTGTTTTGTCGTCGTCGCTCTCTCTTGTCATTCGCCTTATCTACTATTTTAACGCTCAAGTATTTCTGCCTTTCAAGCCTCAAGCTTCAAGCCCCCCAATTCCCAATAGCACCCATGGCTCCCATAACACCCAGTGCCACCCCCTTGGCATTCAAAGCACACAACAAAAATGCCAACAATCCAAAGTTGAGTTTTCTTTGGAATTTCTTGGCGTTTTTTCCGTTTGGCTCAGTTTACTTTTTTTCCGTTTTTTTTTTTGTTTTTTTGACATCTTTCCTGGGGAGGCAACATGCGCGCGCCACAATGACAATTGCTTATTTGTGCTTGTATGTGTATGTGTGGGGAGGGGCTGGTGTATGGGTGAAGGGGGTGGTGCTCGTGGGGGTGGTGCTCGTGGGGGTGGCACTGCCACAGTTAACATGTAACTTCAACGTCAAGTCAAACGAATGTTGTCCTCGTCCTAGTCGCCATTTTGTTTTTTGCCAATGCCACCACACGAAGAAAAATACTCGAGAGAGCACTTTTGAAAATGTTTTTATAATACAACACATTTTTAGACTATTTGTTTTTGATATTTTAAAATATTTAAAAGCAATAAATTGTATTTTTTGGTGCTTCAATTCTTATACAATTATGGGGTATTTAACGCAAGCTAAAAATTCAAATGATATGAAAAATATTTAAAGTAAAAATATAAAAAGGTGAAATTTAATTATATCAATGTTTCTATTTAAATTCTTAAAGTCTAAATAAATATTTTATATAATATATGTATGTTTGGCCATAAGTATAAACTACGCTAATAATTAAATAATTAATTCCTATCATTTCTCTCAGTGCACTACTGCTTTTTCATGGCTTTCATGACTGCTGAATGCTGACTGCTCTCGTCTTGTCTGTGACTCTTATGGCCCTGTTTTGTATGTTTGTGGAGCTGCGTTCTGTTACGCATTCCGTTGGTATTCTACCATTAATACTTGTCTACTTAACGGTAAATTACAGACATTAAACGCACGCACACACACACACTGAGCTCCCCATCCGTGCCAAAAAGAGTGTGTGCGTGTCTGGCCGTGTATTTGTATTGGTAGAGGGGTGGGAGGACACTCGGATGTGCTTATTTGTTGTCAGTACGCGTCAAACATTTGAAAACATTTATTTTTGCCCCGTACGAATGCTTCAATACTCGTAAAGCTTTAGCCAACTGACAGCTCGTCGCCAGTTGCCAGTTTATTTTTTTCCCATCCTCCGAAACAGGAGTTTTCCGTTCCTAAATGGATCCTGATAAATGGGGGCCACTGGCTGCCTGGGAGTCCTCTATTTGTCCCCATTCGGTGCTTTATGCCAGATATTTTACAGGAAGTTTCTGAAAATTTAAATGCTACACAGGAACACAAAATTAAACTTTGTGAAATTTCCACGAACCATTTCAAGTTTTCCATGATATTTGGGTGCTCCTGAGTAAAAGTCCCATACAAAATTATTTTCCATCACCTACAGGTTCCGCGGTATAGCTAAGAATACAAATAACCGATGTTTGCCGACATTTTGAATTACGTGGCCTATATAATTGGGCCAACCTTTATTATTTTCGGTAGGACCTACTCTCAATACATCAAGGCATTCCTAAAAAATAGTCCCCATTGTGAACCATTGCCCATGTCTTTGGAATTCGACGCCAAAGTTGAAAATCCCAAAATTGTAGAGATTTTTCTGATGGAAAAACAATTCTGAGGATTAAATCTTGAATGGAATTAATTTTAACTATTCATTGTATCTATTGTTCATTGTATGCTTTAATTTCGGTTTAAAGCGTTTTCATGAGAACATTTTATTGGATTTCTTATACTAATAAAACCGATTTTTTTATTTCATTATCTACTCCTAAATGTTGTCAAATTTTGAATAAGTCATGGCAACCTCTAGAACTAAGAAACTGAAATACGTTCACTGAACATACACAGAAAAATGTAAATGTTTACTCCCATTCTGTAGGATGCCTTGACTTTTTTAAAATTTGACAACATTTAGGAGTAGATAATGAAATAAAAAAAACGGTTTTATTAGTATAATAAATCCAATAAAAAATAATCTCATGAAATCGCTTTAAACCGAAATTAAAGCATACAATGAACAATAGATACAATGAATAGTTAAAATTACTTCCATTCAAGATTTAATCCTCAGAATTGTTTTTCCATCAGAAAAATCTCTACAATTTTGGGATTTTCAACTTTGGCGTCGAATTCCAAAGACATGGGCAATGGTTCACAATGGGGACTATTTTTTAGGAATGCCTTGATGTATTGAGAGTAGGTCCTACCGAAAATAATAAAGGTTGGTCCAATTATATAGGCCACGTAATTCAAAATGTCGGCAAACATCGGTTTTTTGTATTCTTAGCTATACCGCGGAACCTGTAGGTGATGGAAAATAATTTTGTATGGGACTTTTACTCAGGAGCACCCAAATATCATGGAAAACTTGAAATGGTTCGTGGAAATTTTTGGCTGTGTACCTGTGCTATCGTTGTAATGTAAAGTTGTTTAGGATTTAATAATATTTATTTAAAAACAAATAAAAAAAATTTATAAATAACTAAAAAAAACTTTAAAACGTATAAGATGTAGGGCTCAAACTTAAAATATAATTTGTATTAAGCTATTTAAAATGATAATCATTTCTATTCAAAGATAGAAACATATTCTATGCCAATTATACATAAGTGTATATTGCAGTCTTCGAATTAAATACCTGGTAAATTTCAGGCTAAACTAAAATTTTCCGATAGCTTGCATTGTTCAATTTGGAAATTCCCCAAAATTTGCTGGCCACATCGTAAAGCCAGCCCAGATATTCTTTTTATTTAATTCAACTCGAATCTTCTTTTATGCGGCAAGGACGTAGAATCAACAAAAGTAAAACAATACCAAAAATCAAACACACAAAACGACTGAAAGGTGATGCACGTTTCCATCTTCAGGGTCCTGCAAAGGACCAAGCTCAGGATTTAAAAGAGAGAAAGAGAAAAACGGGAAGGAGGAGGCAGGACTTGTAAAATACTTTTGTGTAACTTTGGCTGAAAACTTTATTTTGTGTATTATATATCCTGTTAACAATATACTTCAGGGCCGATACTGCTGCTGCTGCTGCCGCTTCAAAGGAACAACAAAGCGTAAGAGTCACTTAGCACCAGAAGGATATGCGTGTGTGTGTGTGTGCCTCAACGGACGTATATGTGTGTGAGTGTGGTTTCCGTTAGCCAACAGCCCAAGTTGGTTTGTCTCACGAGCAGCGGCGAATGCTTTTAGCCTTCTTTTGTTTAAAATTTGGTTTGTGTCAGCAACCACACGAACGCACACTCACACACACACACTCACTCGCACACACACATGCTGAGAAGCACACAAAGCCAAATTGTTTTAAAAGAAAGTCAAAGGTCTTTGCAGACAAACAAGAAAGATGAGCGGCATGGCAAATAGGTGGCTCGGGCGGACAAAACTTTTTCAAACTAAACAAGTCATGCACATTTTTCGGCCTGTGTGTATCTGTTTGCTTGTGTGCGGTCGTACTACGTGTGTGTGAGTGCTCCACACTTCCGTTTCCGCTGCCTGGCAAAACACACTCACATATATGTATGGTAATTTTTTTTGGTGGCTATGTAGTATGCTCTGCCGGTTATTTTAAGGAAATTTGCATTAGTCCTGGCGGAAACTCGGCTCACATTTACATATTTTACTTGAAAACTTCTTTGGCTGCACTGCTATGAAAGGTACCCCACTTCTGGTACCGATTAAAATTCAAAGTGTTCCTATATGTCTTGGAAAACAAGTGGTTTAGTACAAATAAAATATAATTAACAATTTCTAATAAATATTAGTAATTGTTGGGTATTAGTATTTTAAAATTTATTTAAAGTCACTTTTTTCCAAACTTGTCTAATTAGTTTTTAATATAGTAATACTTGGCTTTACTTTACAGTTAAGTTATAGATTTCTTAGACATCAAAGACTTAGGAACTATAACCTTAAACAGTGAACAGTATGGAAACTTGGAGCATTTTTTGGTAAATACACTTTAGAGAACATTTGAGGTATAAATATGAATATTGAATTCTCTTTGTCTTGTAATCAGATTTTTTATTTGCCTAAAATGTATCCTTGATTGAGCTATAAAAATAGCTTATTTCATTCCTTTAACCCCAAAAGGATCGCCTAGCTTCCAACCCCTATCTCCTAAGTATGCTGAGGATGCCTTCGATTTAAGGAGTGAACACAAATCACTGAATGGGGGCAGCCAGCAAAAGGCCATAAATACCAAATTGACACTATTACCCGGCCATTCACAGCACCACCCCCCTGAAGCCGCCCATAAAATCCTCCTCCCACCACCCACCACCTACCTACCTGTATGTTCAGTTTTCACAGCCGGCGGACGCGTGTCTGCCTTAATGGACACCTTCCAGATTAATTGCTGCCGGCTACGACGAAGTAACGACGATGGCGACCACATGAACCGCAAAAAGAACAAAGCATTAAGCCCGGCACAGACCGGGCTGTAAATGGGGGGCGGGGAAGGTCGTGTGTTTAACCAGTCAAAGTCACGTGTCAAATAAAATGTCAACAAAACAATTGAGTTATTTATTTGGGCATCGTTTCGCCGAAAGCGGCAGAGCGTTTAATTTTGGCCGCCCACCGGAGAAAACGAGAAGCGTGTGCTGGGTATTTAAAAATCCATTGGCGGTCATTCGACTAAAGCCGAGAGTTACTTTGTCAGCCCGACGGCTCAAGTGTTGAGTTCATTGCAATGCAAGGCGTTCGACAATTTTCGGGACGGCCATAGTCACCCCTACACAGGGAGAAATCTCGGTGAATCTGGGTAAATTTGAAAAAATATTTAATAAATAACAATGTGTCAAATCTAAAAGTCTGGATGTATTTCATTTTAACTTATAAATGTTGATTTACGTAAATTATAACTGAAATAATATCAAAGGAAAATAAATAATATTTAATTTCATATTTATATATGTAATATTTATTTATTAATTATTTAAAACCTAATAATAAATACTTCTATTTATATTACAATTTGGTCTACAATTTAATAAACAATTTTTTTTAAATATTCAGTTAGTTTACTAGTTTTCGATTGACTTAACTATTTATTTAAATCTTTTTGTAATTATTTTCTCACTTTTAATCCTTTTGGTTTTATGAGATTAAGGTAGATAAGATATATGGAAAACATACTAATATCTGTGAGATAAGTAACTATTTTTTCAAGTGTAGCCGGGCCTCCAGGATCGCTTAATAGACACGTGCCGGCCACATCGTGGAGGATGTGCTCGCATTGGCATCCTTGTGGGCTGCTGCTAAATGATTTTCTAGTTGCCAGGCAGCCGGAGCAGGATTAGCCGATGACGGGAGTGTCGCTCGAGGTCCTGGAACGAGTAATGCCCTAAGCCGAGATGCTCAATTGAAACGAAAATGATATTTGCACAGGCCCGGCCGCTGGCTGTGAGTCTAGGGCAGGAGCAGGAGCAGGAGCATCCTTTTCGGGGCTCGCTGCTAAGCAAATACAAATAAAGACCTTTGATGTGAATTTATTGGCAATCGCCAGAGATGAGAAGGTCGTAATGTGGGAGGGGGAGGGACTGGGTCGTGAGACAAGGGCGTGAGAAACAAGCCAGGGAAATTTGCACAACAAATGTTTATGAATTTTGTGGCACGGATAAATGCATAAATAATGCATGTGCGACCGAATGGCCATTGAATATATTTATATTTCCAAGTGCAAATGCCTCCTGCATTTATATGCGCATAAATAAATGTTAAATATTCTATTCAGAGATGACAAAATCCCACTGACGGACCTGCGTTTCATATTGTAATGTTTTTCATTTAAAAGGCCCTGGCCATAAAATCTCAAAGTCACTCGCCATCGCCACGTGGAAATTATGAGAAGGCGTAGCCGTTCGAGGATGTCATAAAGTGAGATATGGCTTTCGCCTTACATCCATCTCCAGTCGCAACTCCTTTTCTTTCCCCGGGACCGGGCATAAATTATGTAAATGCAGGCTGGGAAAGCTGTCTCAATCCGGGGATCCCGTACTATTAGTGCACGTCGGTCGCTAGAGGTCGTCGGTCCATTAGGCTCACCACACGCTCAGGCTCAGCCCAAAAAATCCCTCAACCCCACCACATTACACCGCCACCCGAAAGACCTCCTCCTCCACTCGGTGCTCCAGAAATTTCGACAACATGTTGCGGGCCGGGCAAAAAAGGTCAACATTTTACGGTTGATTAAAGTGCGCCAGGCTGCTCCGTAGTTCCCTATGCTTCCTAGGCTTCCAAAATTGCTGAAATATTTAATGAAGTGCATAAAAATAATTTGTACAAATATTTCATGCATTTCGGTTGAAAAAGATTAAACATGTATTTCGGTTTTTGCTGCCCATTTTTGACAAATATTTTTCTTTGCAATTTATTTGTAAAACCGCCGATGGGCAATTTGCGCATATTTGTTAATGGAAATTGTTTAAATGGCTCGAAGTATTTGCCCAAATAGACTGCTGCTGTTGCCAAGTTGGTCGTTGGTCGTCGGTCGGGTCCAGGGATTTCTGAATCCCGCGGCGTGCCCGCCGTAATTGAGTGAGGGAACAAAAGGAGGTACAAAAGGTCAACTTTTTTACATGCACCCAAATTCTCCCCTTCAACCCGCCTGCGAATTCATTTAAATGTGCCACACAACTCTGGCTTATCTCGCTCCCATTCAACTTTTTCGGCCTTGGGTCGCTTTTATTAGAGCAAAAAATATTTCAATTATTTGCTGGGTTAAGCCGGGCCAGACTTAGCAAGGTGTTAATTTGGCTAATTTCACTGCGGGCTCGAATATTTCGAATTATTTTATATATAAAACAATTTGCTTCCGAAGGGCTACATTTTCGGTAAGAATACCACGATTTACTGAGGTCTTGACTGGGGAGAGTATTGTGAATAAATAAAATGCACGATTTATTAATAGATGGAAAAGGTTTCACTTTAAAAATTGAATTCAAATCTTAAAAAATTACAACTAGAGATTTATTTTTCTTTTAATTTTCAATTTCGTCGTTTTTGCACCGAATATTCTATCAGAAATCAATAAAACATTGCTTTTTAATTCCGATCCAAATCAAAAGTAAGCTAGTACTTAAAAATTGCGTTAAGAAAATGCCGTTTAAAAAGAAAAACAAAGGAGTAGCCAATAAAGGCGCTGGGAAGAAAAACAAGAAGGATATACAGGCTTTTAAGAAAGATGTAGAAACGGATAACCATAAAATATCTGTGGAGGAACTATTAGATCGTTTAAAAACTGATCGCAATATGGTAGGGCGAACTGAGAAAGATTAATATGAGTTATTTCTGGTAAGATTTTTCTAATAGGGCCTAACTTATGCGGAGGCAAAATCAAGATTGGAGATATATGGTCCCAATACTCTAACGCCAACACCGCCAACTCCGAAATGGGTAGTTTTTCTTAAGATAATGTTTGGTGGATTCGCAATACTACTCTGGACAGGAGCTTTTCTCTGCTTTGCTGGATATCTTATACAATTGCAGACGCAGCATGAGCCACCAGATGACAATCTCTACCTGGGCATCGCATTGGCCGTTTTGGTGATAGTCACTGGTTTATTTACATATTTTCAGGTAATTAGGATACCTATCGTTTATTAAAAACTTCTCTGCTTATATAAAATTATTATATGATTTTCCTATCTCAAATCAGATTTATAGTTTAATACATTTTATTTCACTCCCTAGGTCCATAAGTCCTCATCTATAATGGATTCATTTAAGAACCTGGTTCCTCAACACGCTACAGTGATACGAGAAGGGGAAATAACCACTGTTAACTCGAGTGAAATAGTGAAGGGAGATATTGTGGAAGTAAAATTTGGCGATCGAGTTCCAGCTGACATTCGAATATTAGAAGCCCACGGCTTGAAGGTGGATAATTCTTCTTTGACTGGAGAATCAGAACCGCAAGTAAGATCGTCAGAATTCACACATGAAAACCCACTGGAAACAAGAAATCTGGCCTTCTTTTCCACAAACGTACTCGAAGGCACTTGCAAAGGCGTTGTAATTGCCACTGGGGATAATACGGTGATGGGAAGAATAGCTAATTTGGCAGCCGGTCTTGACGAAGGGCAGTCGCCTATTTCCCGAGAAATAGAGCTTTTCATTCGATTTATTACAATTTTTGCAGTAATTTTAGGACTATCGTTCTTTGGAATCGCCCTGATGCTGGGATATGGTTTCATTGACGCAGTAGTGTTCCTCATCGGCATTATAGTTGCAAACGTGCCCGAAGGTCTACTTGTGACGGTAACTGTTTGCTTAACCCTTACGGCCAAGCGAATGGCCTCGAAAAACTGTTTGGTCAAGAACTTGGAGGCCGTTGAGACCTTGGGGTCGACATCAACGATCTGTTCTGATAAAACGGGAACCTTGACGCAAAATCGAATGACAGTTGCCCATTTGTGGTATGATCAGACGATAGTCGAATCTGATACGACGGAGACTTTTCGAGGATCACTTTTTAAAATGGAAGATAAATCGTTCAGTGCTCTTCTCCTGTGCGCTGCCCTTTGCAACTCGGCGGAATTCAAGGGCGGCCAAGAGGATATACCAGTTTTCAAGAAAGATGTCAATGGAAATGCTTCAGAGGCGGCACTTCTAAAATTCGCCGAGACGGTTTTCGGAGGTGTTTCAGCAGTTCGCCAAAAGCATCCAAAACTAACCGAAATACCCTTTAACTCCACGGAAAAGTATCAAGTTTCCGTTCATGAATATAACTGGATCGATGGATTTTTTGTTGTCGAAATGAAAGGAGCCCCGGAAAGGATTTTGGATCGTTGCGATACGATAATAATTCGAGGTCAGACCGTGGATCTTACGGCTGCACTGAAAATGGAATTCGAAGAGGCCTATTTGGAAATGGGCGGCATGGGTGAGAGGGTTTTGGGCTTTGCAGACCTTCAACTTTCTGCGGATCAATATCCACGCTCATATGAGTTTAGCACAGAGCCTCCGAATTTCCCTCTCTATGGTCTTCGCTTTCTGGGATTGATATCCCTTATAGATCCACCTCGTGCAGCAGTTCCTGATGCGGTGGCCAAATGCCGTTCTGCAGGTGTTCGAGTAATTATGGTAACCGGTGATCATCCGATTACGGCCAAAGCTATAGCCCGCAGTGTGGGCATTATTACGAAGCCCACTGCCGAGGATCTGGCCAAGCAGCGCGGCGTTCGAGTGGAGGATATCGATCCTCGACAGGCCACAGCCATTGTGGTGCACGGTGGAGAGCTGCGCGAGATGAAAGGCGAGCAATTGGACGGTGTTATTTACTATCACAACGAGATTGTCTTTGCAAGAACTTCACCGCAGCAAAAACTCATAATAGTAGAGGCCTGTCAGAGACGTGGGGAAATCGTTGCCGTCACTGGTGACGGAGTGAATGACTCACCGGCCTTGAAACGAGCTGATATTGGCGTGGCAATGGGTATTTCCGGATCCGATGTTTCTAAGCAGGCTGCGGACATGATTTTGCTGGATGATAACTTCGCCTCCATAGTTGTGGGCATCGAGGAGGGAAGGATTATCTTTGATAATCTTAAAAAATCCATCGCCTATACCTTGACTTCGAATCTTCCGGAAATAATGCCGTTCCTGTGCTTTGTTATGTTCGATATACCATTAGCTCTGGGCACAATCGCTATTCTGTGCATCGATATCGGCACCGATATGCTGCCCGCCATATCACTGGCCTATGAAAAAGCGGAATCGGATATAATGTCTCGCATGCCGAGGGATCCCTTTGAAGACCGTCTGGTAAATAAAAAGTACGGGTTGTTTGGAAATAATATAGAATATATGGTTTGAATAACTAACATTAATTCATAGGCTAATTCTGATGGCTTACTTGCAAATTGGAGTAATACAAACCGTGGCTGCGTATTTTACATTTTTTGCTATAATGGCTGAACATGGCTTCCCCCCATCCAGACTTATTGGAATTCGAGGAGCATGGGACGCGAAAGAGGTTGAAGATCTGGAAGATGGTTACGGACAAGAGTGGGTAAGATTGTCGTTTACCTATTACTATAATATATTTCTTAATATCTTGGTATTATTTGTAGACCTACAGAGAACGTAAGGTTCTTGAGTATACGGCTGGCACCGGCTTCTTTGTGTCCATTGTAGTAACACAAGTCTTCGATCTTTTAATATGTAAAACGCGTCGAAACTCAATTTTGCAGCAGGGTATGGGCAATCATGTACTGAACTTCGCGTTGATTTTGGAAATCATCATTACTTGCGTGCTCTGCTATGTGCCGGTGTTTGAGAAAACTTTAAGGATGTATTCCATAAAGTAGGTAATAATACTAAACTTTAAGTCAGTGATAATCAAGTTAGTTTTTCAGATTTATCTGGTGGATATACGCATTCCCTTTTGGCTTACTAATCTTTTTCTTTGATGAGGGTCGTAAATTCCTCATCAGAAGGAATCCTGGTGGTTGGGTGGAGCAAGAAACATATTATTAATGCCGGTGTTTTAACACTCTAAATATATACCAACAAAAATCTGACGCTGTGTCGCTGTACGTACTACTTAATAAATTTTACTAATTCCTTTTCAACCACTGGAATAAAATGGATAAAAAATATAAAAAGTATAATAATTTGAACAGAAAAACCTTTCGACAGAACGGTTTATAATTAATAATAATTAATTATAATTTATAATATAATATATGTTATTTATATTATTTAAAATTTGTTTGACTCGTTCGTTTAAATAGTGTTGGCATATCAATGTCGATATACTTTCATTAGAGGACATACACACCCATATTATTTTTTGTTAAATTGCAATATCAGTCATGATCCTTGTTTTGCTCATTACTATTCCGCTGGTGACAGATTGCGTCGCCTGACAAGCCCGATTTTGGCCTGAGTTTCGGCGTCATCCTCAGCCACCCGGGAAATACAGAGTGAAATTGAGCGCAACCCCACCCCAAAATTCAACCTCGGGTGGTTGCAATCCGCATCGTAAAAAGCGTAGCGCATAAATGACGAGGCTGTTTCCAACGGGACAGTGCGGAACGGAGTTGTAAGGACGGGGGCGATGAGGCAGCTTGTTGGACAAGTGGCGCCCTTGTTTTTGCGGAAAGTGTTGTTTCACTTTTTTTTTGCCGGCCAGATTTTATGGCGCAGAAAATTGAATGATTGATCGCCGAAAATAGGCGCAACTAATTAATTTTCGACCCTCGCAGTTTCGGGGGTGTTGAAGGGGGCGTGGCTGCATCGATGATGTCAAACCGGTGGCCACCTGCAAACAGGACGATCCCTCTGTTTTTTGTCAGCCCAGGGTGCAAAAGGAAGTTTGTCATTTGCATAATTTGCAACTTAATTTAAACGACTTCATCGGGTTATACAATATACATGTCTAGAGAATAGTATTCTGGGGATTTTCACACGTGTGCCACATTTTTTGAGCTTTGGGCCTGCCACGCCCCCTAGCCAACCGCAATGCCACCTTTTGCGGTTCACTTCGTTTTTGTCATTAACTTGCGGCAACAGAAATTCTACTCCTCCCTCCTTCGATTGTAACGCCCCGGCACGTGGAGATGATTTAACTCCAGTCAAGATTGTAGTTTTCCAGGCAGTCACATGCCAACTAATTTATTCATGACATCATCATTAAGATGTCGTGGCATGCCGAATCCTTTGAAGCGCCTCCTTTGCTCACCTCGTATTTACTTAATCGGAGCTCCAGCTTTGCCTTTCCCCGTTTCCGTTTGCTCTTATTTATGTTTACTTTGCGTCGAGCCAAGGCAACTACTTACTTTGTTTATGTTGGCTTCCTTTCGAGGAGGCTTTCGGGTTCGGGGTCCCTGGTCCCTATAAGGGGGATATTCCCGCCGAGGCGTTCCGGTTCTCCTATGAATTTTAATAAGTCTTGGATCTGGAAACGTGTGGTGTTCGCCGGGTTGTCTTTCTCTGACTTTGTAGAAGTCGCTTGTAAAGTTTAACTTGCTTTAACATCAACTTGAACTGACAATGATGATGCGGTTTTTCATTAAGACAAAGGTTACGCTATAGTTGAATAGTAGGTAATTGATCAAAATGTATATATAAACATTTTAGTTCTGGCTTCAAAATAAAAGAATAAATTTGATGAAGTGCAAATATTCTTTTAATAGACTGATTTAAAGTAACCCCTTTTAAGATTTGATTTCTAGCTTTTTACACTCAATCCAGAAAACAATTGGGCCCATAAACGATTGACTACCAGAAGGCAAACCGTTTCAATATCCTGCCGGCCTGACGAATGGCCAGCAATTTGCGAGTCCTTTGACAACCAGCGACTGCCACTGCCACTGTATCCACTAACCGAATCTGGAGTCGGGCTGGTAATTAACTTTGCAACACTTGCAGTGGCCGTAACAGTGGCATTGGCCCTGAATGGGAACCTGGCCCACACGCAGCACGTTGCACGGAGCTTTTTGCGGTGGCCGTGGCAGGAGCAAATATGTGTGTCCTCGTCAGCCGGCCGGTGGTCAAACGATGAAATGTCAACAATGGCCAACGGTTCGAACTCCTTTGCTACCGCCGACGTCATGCCAGCACTTCATCACGAACGGAGTCACGAGTCCAAAGTCCAGAGTCCAGAGTCCACCACAGTCGCAGTGCGAGTCACAAAAAGGCGCAAATTTACATTTACATTGACTGAATGATGCCGATGGCCCGGGCGTTCATGGAACATGTCCTGCTCCCAGCGACTGATTGATTTCGAGTGCGTGTGCGGACACGGTGAAAAAAGAATATCAAATAAAATTTTCATCTTATGAGTCAGTTTGAAAATTTTACCAACATAGGAATTTTATAATGAACGTACAACTTATATTTGGCTAAGTTTTAAGCCACCGTAGATTGAAGAAATTTTGTATTATTATTAAAGCAAATGTTATCTATTTCGTACTTTCTTATTTAGTCCTTCTTTAACATTAATCAATTACCTGGAAGCCTGACTACTTAATCAAATTTCATAAAAATGTTTTAAAAAATATATTTTTTTATTAAGTTTATAAATTTAAACTTATACGATTTCGGATTTCATAAATTTTTTATTGTCAATCTGTAATTATGTTATTAGAATTATAAAAATGCAAATTTTTTAAAATGTAGTATTTAAACAAAATTATTTACGTAATAATTTTATGGACAATCCGATGTCAAGTTATAATACAGGCTTATTGGTATTCCACCTATTAAGGATAAGCAAATTATAATACATTTTATTCCCTGTGTAGATGGATTGTACATATAACCATTCTGATGGCCGGCGACGAGTCTTGCGTAAAAACCACGAAACATATTTGGTTTGTCATTGGACGCAGTGAAGCGTTCACCGAGTGGTCACTGGGAGGAGTTGGTAAAAGTGGGGTGAATCGGGATGGGGAGAAAAAGGAGGAGTGACTCCCTGAATCCCGAGTCCTGGAGCCAGAGTCCTGAATCCTGGGCTACTGTAACGCCGAAATGTAACCAGCCATATTGACATGGGACGCACACGAGTGTGGGTGTTTCTTTTCATGTCTGTACGTGCATGACAAGTGGAGCCTCAATTGGTTGTCCTGCCAGGAGCACACACACACACACACCCGCTTACATCCACATACTCGCCACACATATAGAGGCAAAAAGCCATGGCCGTTTAACTGCTTTTCCACTGAAGCCATGTTGATTTTTTTCACTGGTTACACTTCGTTTCGCTGGGTTGTTGTTTGTGTCATTTGCCTGCCATGCGGTTGAACGAGTGCTTTCGTATCGGTGTGACTGCGTGTGTGTATGTGTGTGCCTGTTGTCTGTGTGTGAGGACCTTCATATCCTTGTGTGCATGCATGTGGTGTGCATGCAATGTCCTTGTGCAAACTTCCCGCACTTTGTCGTCGTCGTCGTCGTTCTCGTTTTTGTTGTCGCTTGTCGTTGGTCCTTTATCGTTTCCTTGTCGTCCTCGCCCATCCTGCCACCGTATTTTTGGTCTTTTTGTTTGTGCTACACTCCTTTTTCTTATTTCTGCCGCGGCTGCGCCACTAGTTCGGCTGGTTTTTTCAGCTCTTCCATTTTTTAATAAAACTTTGGATCTTGAAAATCAATTTGTGACATTTTCTTTTGGTTTTGGATAACTTTTAAAACCGGAAATTTCCAAAAGTCCTTTTTTCAGTAAGTATTGGGTATTTTAAACCATATGTAAATGTTATTTAAAAACTGGTTTTGATAAGTGTGTTTTTTTAAAGTTTAAAACCATTTCTAAAATTCTTTAATCTATTATTTTTAAGTAGAATATCATAATACTTTTAAATACAGAAATAAATACAAGATTCCCAATGCCAAATCCATAAATCAATATGCCTTAATACACCTAATCATTTTTCCATGTAGATAATTTATATTTATATCATAAGTGCGATTTAAAAAAGAATACAAATTCGAGTAGTGGCTCATACATAATGCCTTTGTTGTATTGTCTCACATTTCCTTTTCCCACATCCTCGATGACGGGGCACTTGTCCTCAAGGACTACACATGTTAGCCCCGCGCAACTTGAACTCTTGATTAGCTCTTTGCATTTTTTATCGCTGCGATCAGCCATCATCAAGTGTCGTAGCAGCCCTCCGCTCAATCGAGCATCGAGCATCGAGTGGCGGGTATCTATATCCATTCTATCCTCCCGTTGTCCATATCTGTAAGCGATATCTCCCAATAAAAAACTCCCATGAGCACACACACTCGAAACGTGGCAGCGCGTGTCGCTACTTAATTGTTAAACATTTTGTAACATTTCGCCGAGATTAGCATCGCAAAAAGCAAAAAGCGAAGAGGGAAGTTTAAACGAAAGAGGGTCCCGGGGTGTGTGGTCTTTGCAAGTCAAACAGGTCCTCACAATGGCAGTGGAAGTGGAAATGAAAATGAAAATGGGACTGCGAATGGAACTGCGAGCTCCGATGCAGATCCAAATCCTCCGCCGCGGGTAGTTTGTTTGTTGCTGTTGCGATTGTGATGCGCGGATAATCTCCGGCGAGGCACGTGAGCTCTGTTTGTTTATTTGTTTGCCGGCCAGCCAGTCCGCTCCTCTCCGCACTCCTCGATCTCCCGACTTTTACGGTCCCCACGAAATGGGAAGGTGTAATATGTTAAAGGCAACAACGGGCAACAAGGAGCGCGTGCTTCGGACACGCGGCACAGATTTTTCACATGGATAAGCTTTTTGCTCTTGCACAATTTCCCATTTCTTGTTTCCAATTCGCGGGTCAAAACTTTGCGGCACACTGAAGTTGGCTAAAATCAAAGCGGGGGTACCATCAATGAACACTGGTTCTGGTCTGGTTGAGTCACAGAAAAATAATAACAATTTTTATTTCACTCACATAGAAGTTAAACTCTATTGAGTGGGTATATTGGGATTGATTTTAAATTTACTTTCGGAAAAATACAAGCTACAAATTTAAAGTCGTTCAAACCTATTTTTTTACATGTTTATTTATTTTAAT